CCCCAAAACCCCAAAACCCCAAAACCCCACTCTTTTTCATTAATTTATCTAAGGAGTTTTGTAAAAATAATCTAATTGGATTAAAACAATAAATAACTTCATCTCATTTAGTGAATTGATTAAAGGACTAGAAACTCGCTTAATACTAATTATGCATCTGTCTAATATTTCTTTCTAGCTGACCACTATTAGTAGCACTCATAGACAGATCCTCAGTTGGAACATGACTTATTGAATGCTGATCCATGGATGAATCAGTCTACCTCTACAAATATTAAGGCTTGGGATCGTGAATAGGCTCATTTTAATTGCTATTTCCAAAATTTTAGCCTTCTTTTTTATAATAATAGGGGTTATTTATGCTTTTGCCACTGTTGTCCTCGCTTTGCATTGAATAGCCGCTATTTTCATCGTTTTTAATGGAGCTAAGCTTGCTTTCCTAATTAATTGCCATTTCATTAGAGTTTTTAGCAGCATAGAGTTAAACGTTTGTCATGTCTAGATTTAGACTTGAGATCCCACTGTTACTTTTATTTGAATTTTATTTGCGAATCATATTCTCCACATAAAGATTTCCCAATCGCTAATTAGAGGGTTTGCTTTCCGCATAGTTGACTTTCATAACATTCAACTACTAAGATTCGTTTTAATCCTCATCTTTAAAAATCTTGTTTATTTTAACCATTTATTTATGCTATGATGAGTGTTAACGCTGGTTGGACAGTGTGCTTGAATGATTTTAAATGGGTGAAAGATTACTATTCTAAGGGGGTTTCTCGTAATTTGTGTTTCTCTAATGATGAATTACTTTAGAGGCGGTACTTCTGCTGCTAATTTCATAGGGGTTTGGGTCTTAAATGGGTGAAAGGGGGAGTGAATTTTAATGGAAAGCCTTTTCATTTCTATGATTTTAAGGTGTATTAATTTAATTACTAGACATTATACTTGATCTAATAGCTTCACTTTTCATTGCTGAAGTAGATCTCTTTCTAATGGCTGATCCATTTCTTGAGTTATTCTAGTAAGCCAGAGCTTACTCTGTCAAATTATTATCCATATTCTAGGAAATCAAACTTCTTTAGTAGCTTTGATTTCTTGGCTATCCACTTATAGAGTTTGATCTAATTGTGCCATGAAGGGACTTGTCAGCGTCACTTCTAAGACATATCAATTCATCAGCTAACTGAGAGCATTCTCTTAAATGCTAATGAGATAACTTTTTATAGTAACTTGCTTGATCTGAACTTTGATGATTTTAGGTAAGTTCATTTCTAGAAGAATATTGACTAGTTTTAGGTTAATGCTATGGATTATTAGACTGCTGAATTTATTATGTGTTTTATATTTTAATTATTTGCTATTACAATTACTTAACTTCAACTTTGGCTTTTTAAAGTTTTTCATTTAGCTGTGATATTATCTCACCTTAATGCTAGACTTCCTACTGAAAAGCATCTTTTTCCTTTTTTATCTGTTTTAGCTGAATATTTTCATCTTATAGATTTCTAATTACTGCTTAGTAGTCACTTTCTGAGCTAGACTCATCTAAATTTTTAGCTTAAATTATCTATTTCAGCTTTATTATCTAATCTTTCAAGGCATCTATAATCTTTTTATCTTTATCCTTATCCTATTTATATTTTTCATGCTCTTTTTTAAGTTCATCAAAGGATTCAGCCATGAGATATCCGAACTTTTTCCATTTTTCAATCTCAGCTTGGAGTAATTGAATACTTTAGAGGCTGCTACCATCATTTATGTTTTAGCTGCTATGATTGGACTAGTTGAAAGATTTTTATTGATCAGAGTCATTAGTCACCAAGTTTGATTTGCTTCTATCACTGAATTAAGTAATTTACAATGGTGCTTAATTATTTGATTTTGAATCATAAAAGTTTTAAGAATTTTCCTTGTCTATATTTCTCTAACTCTATGAACCCTAAGTTTAGTTGCCTCTAAGTTTAAGATACAATGCTTTTTTGTTATCAGCTATTGTCTCACTACTTCTCTGATTAGTATTTGATTACTAGCTGGAAGAACTTTGAATTGAAGAATAATTGTCATTAATAAACTTTTAACCGAAACCACAGTTAATTGATGATTTACTAGACTCATGAAGAACTGAGGACACCTAATCATCTCTTTCTTGGTGATAAAACCCGTTAATTCTTTGATTTAGGGATTAGCTTACTTACTAAACTTGCTGAAATTCCATTTCAGGGTCTTACAATTACTTCAGTAAATTCACATCTTGACTTTGCTAGTTAAGAGGATTAAACATGTTCATCTGATCACTGAGAATTTGTAATTAGCTACCTTTTTTGTTTAAATCATGACTACTCATTGACTTGTGAATCTCAGTATATTCTTCGTCATCTCGACTTACCTCTTCAATACAAGAATCAATATTAGGGAGCTTTTAACGTTGATAAGAATCATGTTCGTCTTCATAAGGACCAAAGTTATTAGAGTAGATCTGCGGTGGTTGATGGCCTTTTGATACTTTTTGTACACTTTTTTTTTGAGAAGTAGACCTTTAAGATATTTAATTTGTTGGGGATGACATTTAGGAATATTCATAAGTTTTAGTATTTGTTCTAGTCTTTCTAGAAGAATCTATTTAGAGTTGCTTTTGAGTCTTCTTTTAACTGTTAGTTTTCATGTTTTAAAATTTTAATTTAGATCTCCTTTCAAAGCTCATTAAATATTATAATAAATAATTAAATATAATGAGATCCAACTCTATTCTTGCACTATCAGTGCTCTTTTTTGCTGCTACTAAAGCATGGGATAATACTCCACCCATTCCAGAAAGAGTAGAAGGCCTTGGTGAGGGCTCTGGAAATCTGAGAATCGATTTTGAAGTACATTACGATTTAATGTGCTCAGCTTCAGCTGCTCTCTACCCAGATTTCGCAACATTCTTGGATACCCCCTTCCTCAATGGCAAAGTAAGAGATGCTGTGACTGTCAGATATGTGTTCTAGCCATTAACATATCACCATGCTACCTGGATTCCACACAAACTTCTTCCATTCATCGTTGACCAATGTGTTGCCAACTCAACTTCTTGTTAATACATCAACTACATGAACTTCTGTTTCAATAATTAGGATGATATCCTTGGCTCTACTGATAAAAGTTTCAACTAAATTGTTCAAAACTGGACTGCAAAGGTAGCTAAGCAATTCGGATGGAATCAAAAGGACTTGACTGATCTTTTTGACTATGATACCGACACTCACAACTCTGAGATGAGAACCAGATATATGTGGAAATACTCTACCTCAAGAGGTGTCACTAGCACTCCTTCAACCTTTGTTAACGGCATCATGGTTCAAAACTTCCCAGGCTCTCCAGATGAGTGGATGCAATTATTGAAAGACACCTATGCTGGTCAACAAAATGGAGCTTCATTTGCATCTCATCAATTCCTTCAGTGAGAATTATCATTGAGTCGACTCAGCTCATAAATCTCATCAATATGATTAATCAATCCAAATATTCTTTAATAAAAGATCCATAGATTACTATGATTTTGGCTTGCTGGGGTTTTGGGGTTTTGGGGTTTTGGGG